ACTTCCTCATGTCCACAGCCTTTGTACCAGCCATTCATTCATAAGCATGTATTGAGACCTTGTTGCATATCTAACGTTATAAATGGGCTTGGAGATCTAACAATGAATAAGTAATCCTTACTCTTAAAGGGCCAGGAAAGTAATGGAGAGGCAGACAGAAAGAGATCATGATGATGGTGGTGGTGGTGGTGATGATGATACTTAGAGTGGCAGTAGATCTGCTTATAATTTCATAGAGAATACAAAGCACAGAGACACATGATTTGCGTGTCAAATCTCAGGTTAATCCCCTTCCACATTGTTTCTTTTGCTACATTTAAAATTGGAAGTAATCCTTTCTTATCTCCTTGAATTTCCTTAGCACAAACTTGTCACTTTTATTTGATGAATAATAGAGGCATACATATTGCATTCGTATATTTTTTCTGTTCAACTTCGCATACTTGGAAAGGCAATGCAGAGTAAAGTAGTATTTTCTAGCCAGAAGCAGTTGAGCCCTTTGCCCATGTCTGGAGATGACTGTGGTTGCCATAACTGAGGTAGTAGTACTCTTGGTATCTGGTAGACACCAGGGGTGTTGCTAAATAACCTACAATTGATAGGCCTTTCCCAACAACAAAGAAGTATCAGACTGACGTGTCATCGGTGCTGACATGACCTGTCTTGTAGGGTAAGAACATGGACCCTGGAGACAGCACTTAAGTCCTACCTATGCCACAAAGCTTTGTGTCCTTGAGCAAATTACCTTCCTTTTCTAAGGCTGAATGAGCTACTGCATGTAACATAAACTTGGCACACAGTAAGCCTTTGTACATGTTGGCTGTCAATATTTTAATTTATGATTATATTGTGTATGATAGTGTTAGTGGTACTGCAATGAGATATTTATTTCTTACATACTCCCTAGCTTAGTGAAATTCAGGAAAAAAAGTGTTTAATGATTAAGTAGGTCATTTTCTTAACACAAGTGTATGACTTCTACTTGTTTAATAATAGATAGATACATACACATTCATATACTCCTATTAGACTTCTAATAGAAAGGCAATGCAGATTAATTTCTAACCAGAAACAGTGAGACCTGCTATGTCTGGAGATGTTTTAGGTTATCATAACCAACTCTTCTATAAATGCACATTTTCAAAACTTCTCCTCTGTCTTCTAACAGAATCCCGTGTGAATAAGTTTTCACTATCCAAAGCTCTACTATAGCTGCCTGTACATTCTGCTGCTGTGCTAAGGAAAGGAAATGAGTTCCTCTGTGCTGTCAAATGCAGATGGGTCTAGTAGAGCTTCTACACCAGTCAGGGCCACCTGACACTCACAGTGCCATTAAACTCCCTGGAAAACTAAGTAAACAGCAGAAATGAGAAGCTTGCTAATATTGTTAATTGAAGGTGTTAATTCTGAAAATGTGAGCTATTGTTTTTTCCAGTTTTCCCCTTCACTAAATAAAAATCAAAGGAAAATAAATGGACCAAATACTCACTTGTTTTTGAATAATTTTTCCTGTATGTGACCTTCCTCCTTTCTTCACAATGTCTCTAAATATACTATAGTCCATCCACTACTGCTGGTTAAAAGCTAGAGGAGCTTCAGTTCTCAGTGATGTCAGCATTACTGGATTAATTTAACCACACCCTGGTGTCACTGATCATTTTTGTGTTGATGTCTTTTCAGGCTTCACCAATACTAGAAATGTAACTTATGAATAATGTGCATGTCATTTACATTATATTTTAAAAATCGAGGATTTTATTTATATTCTATAAGAAATGCTTATCTAATGACAAAAGATAATATTATTAGACAGTATTTTCAACAAAGATTTTACATACCTGGAGTTATTTTTTAACAAAATTTAAATGAGTTAAGAATATTATTAAAAACTTGGGACCCATAAAGTATAATCTTAGTAAAATAGCAGTTTATCTCCTTGGCCTATTATATATCTCTGTGTAGATATTTCATACCTATGTGGTTTGGTATGGCTTTCCTGAGGGAAAAAACATTAAGATATATGTGTATTTACATATGTAATGTATGCATGTATGTAAAAAGATTTATTATAAGGAGATGGCTCATACAGTTATGGAGACTGACAAGTCTCAAGGTCTCAGGATGTTCAGGGCAGATCTTCAGGCTGGAGACTCAGGAGAACTGAGGATTTTGTTCCAGTCAGAATTCATAGGCCAGGGAAGAGTAGGGTTAGTGATATAGTTCCAGTTCAGAGGTTGGCAGACTTGAAGCCCAGGTGGAGCTGGTCCAGTTCACATCCAAAGGAGGAAAAAATGGATGTCCCAGTTATAGGCAGCCAGGAAGAAATCAACTCTCTTACTCAGACATATAAGCTTTAACTCAAGAATAAGACTTTTTGTTCTTTTGAGGCTTTCAGTTGATTGGAAGAGACCCACTCAAGTCAGGAAGAACAATCTGTTTTACTCTGTCTATAGACTAAACTGATAGTCTAATCTAAAACACCTTCACAGAAACACTAACAATGTTTGATCAAATATGTAGACACCCCATTGCCCAGTCAAGTTTACAGATACAATTAAACATTATACCAGATACATATGACTAGCAAGCATACAGTCTTACAACCTAGGTTTTTTTAATGTGTTATTTTTTAAATGTGTATATTTCCTGTATATATGTGAGTGCACCTGTGTCATGCAGTACTCAGGGAGATCAGGAAAGGGTGTCAGATTCCCCTGGAACTGGAGTTAAGGATGCTTGTTAGCTGCCATGTAGGTGCTGGGAATCAAACCTGGGCCCTCTGCAAGAGCATCCAGCGCTCTTAACTACTGAGCCATCTCTCCAGCCCCAACAATTTGGTATACTGAGAAGTTAACAATCTTAAAACACTAGCACACCCCCAAAAATCACAAATCAAAATAGTGTAAGCATGCAATTAATCTTTTGTGTTAAATCTATGAAAAAAATTTTATAAGAAGATCTTTGAAAAGATCCTTATGCGTAAGCCTTCTTGAATTGAGACTTAAAGGTTAAGTATGATACAAATAGACTACATGGTACTGTCCTGAACCTAATACACATTTAATTGAATTCAGCAGACATGTATTAAATGTCTACTGTGCACAAGCTCAGGGTTAATTGCTTAAAGGTATCCTAAAATATCTAAAACAGGCTCTTCTCCTGAAAAAAGGAAAAAAGATGAATTTTTCTATAGCATAAGGTAATATTAGTTAACTGCTTCATTTGAGATGCAAATGAAATATAACTGTCTCATCTCTAAGACAGTTTAAAAGGATGTGCGTGGTGTATGTAATTTAAAAAATGTAATTTCTGGCCAGTCATTAGTGGGTAAAACCTTCATTGACAAAGATAAAATGTTCTTTGTAAAAATACCAATGCTAAGAAAAGGTGGGTCCCTCAGCGCGCGCGCACACACACACACACACACACACACACACACACACAGCTTTTTCCTCAGACCACTTTGTAACTGGACCACTGGTTGGAAGGTGTCACCAACACTGAGAGAGGATCTCTTCAGTTCATCTTCCCAGAAAAGCTCTCATAGACATACCCAAAGGTTTGTGTTCTAGGTGATTCTAAATCCAGTCAAGTTGGCACTTGAAAACAACAATCTCATACCACAATTCAGGGTTGATAAATGTGAGCTTAAAGCTTAGTGCTGAATCTCTTTTAAAAAAAAATATATATATATATATTTTTTTATGTGTATGAGTGTGTTGCCTGCCTGTGTGTAAGTGCACCCATGTGATGCAATGCCTGCAGAGATCAGAAGAGGGCGCTGAGGCCCCTGAAACAGGAGTTACCTATGGCAGTTAGCTGCCAAGCCACCATTTGGGTGCAGGAAATTGAACCTGGGTCCTCTGCAAGAGCAGCCAATGCTCTTAACCAATGAGCCATCTCTCCAGCCCCACAGCTCTGAATCTCTTAGCAGAAGGAAAAAGGAAAGATGGTTATTACAAGATTAACCATCCTCACTTTAGCCGAGGCTTTTAAGACCTTTTACCAGCACACCTACATAAATCCCCATACTCTCTGTCCCCTGCAGATGACTCCCCATGCTCCTCTGAAGCTAGTCTCTCTCTCTGTGTTACTGTCCATCCCCCCTTTGCCTATCAGTGATCCCACTCTCCAGCCTTTCTTGTATTCCATGTCAGAACATTCCTGTAATCATTACAATACATTGTTTTTCAACCAGTTACAGAAAATTCCTTTGATCCTGTGTTTCTCATTTACAACCTACACCTTTGTAGTGAAAAATATGCTAATCAAAACTGCAGTTAAATTTTTTTCTTACTTTTCAGATTGTTCAAAGTCCAAATCTTGTGAGGAAACTTTTATGTTGCTAGAAATAAAAAAAAAAAAAATTAAACTTCTCTGTAGGAAAATGTGATTAATGATAGATCTGTATTGCAGGTGCAGTTTTCACATAATTTCAGAATTAATTAAAGAGAAATAACTGTACAACATAACATATCACAAGACTGTTTTAGCAAAGTTTGTAAAAACTCTTAATTGCTCATTAATAACATACAGGTTAAGTAAATAGCACTACAATATGCAGTAAAATTCTATTCAGTAGCATAAGATGGGTAAGCACTCCGAGAATTGACATAGAAATATGTTTGTAAATTAAGAATACAAGGCTTTCGGTACATTTTAAATATTCCTACAGAAGAAGGATGAATAAGAATATTGTTCAAACTTGCTTGAGTATGTTTAAAGGAACTTTAAATAAAAGCTAGCAAAATGATTTTTCATTAAAAGTGGGCTCTGAATTGGGGGGAATCTATTCTAACAATTTTCACTCTAACTTTTTTGTTTTCAACTCCCGTGTGCTTTTATGCAGAATATAAAATCATTTTTATGATTAATCATTAATCTCCTTAATCATTTTTCTGAACAGTTACATGTTGTGCTTTGAAACAAAAAATGTATGCTACTTGTTAAATGTTTAATTTGTTGCCAAAAAATTAATTTTTAAAAAATTCTATTCCTAGATCCATATTTATTCCCTTGGAATGACATTGTATTGGGGGGCTGATCATGAAGTACCTCAAAGCCAAGTAAGTCAAGTTTTTACAGTTATGCAAATTTCCAGTTTGTAAAAGCTCTTTGGTATAGTTAATGAATTCTACAACATGCTGTCAAGCACACTGGCATTTTTATACTGGTTGTTCACAAATATAATGTCATAGTTTAAGAATAAACTAAGAATTTGAGTGTTAATGAGGTTATTTTCAAGGTATTCTTAGAATTGTAGCAATCACTACCCAGGTTTTAACAGCTGAATTTGTGAGATGGAGCTTGGTTCTTCAGAAAAACATATCGTGGTAAATGGGAGCAAACTTTCTAGTCATTTACTGACTATGAGAGTGATTGTGAATGTCTGATGATTGCTGTTGTACTAAACATAGTAGTCCTAGCAGCCCTATCCCTGTCTCAGCCTACTGTAGGGGAGAATACTCTTTCTCTTTCTCTTGGCACTTCAGAATCCCACTTTCTGCTCCTGCAGCAGGAGACACAGACCTCTCAGGCCTTGGGCTCAGGATGACCTTTGGGTTAGTTTTAGCCTTTATTTTCTAAAATAATTCTCATTCTACAAAACTCAATATAAATGTAACAGTAAATAGTAATTAAAAAATTCTAAATACTCTTATTTATCAATGATAAGTTACAACATTTAGAATGGGATTTAGAGCTGCAGAGATAGTTCAGATATCAGAGTTTGCCCTGAAAGTGTGAGGAACTGAATTGGATTTCTGTCACTAGTAAAAGTAGGGCTTGATTGTAAATGTCTGTAATATGAGCACTTAGTTGATTGAAACAGGCAGATTCTCCAGAGCTCACTGGCCACCTGGTGTAACCAGTTGGTGACTTTGGGTTTAGTGAGAGGCCTGACTCAAAAAATAGGATGGAGAGGGATAGTAGAAGACACACAGCATCAACCTCTCACCCCCATATGCACAGATACACACATGCATACACCTCCATACATATACATATATACAAACATGGACACACAACACATACACAACACCCCATTACACATACACACAAAAGAATTGGGTTCATTTTGTGCATTTAGAAGTGAAAAACAAGCGCATTTTTTCTTATTAAATATCAGAAGAAATAAGCTTTTACTCCAAAATTAAAACGTCTTAAAATTCATGAGATGAGTGAATGCCATTGTTGAACTTGGCTCAGTCTATTTACTTTTGAAAAATTGTACATATTTTCTTTCTCTTCTCACTTTCAATCCTGTAAACATGAGAGTCAGTTATTACTGAAGATACGATGTTATTTATTATGCAGCCTTACTCTCATATAAAATGTAGTACTCTATAATTAACACTTTATTTTTAATAACTAGAAATAAAACCAGTACCAGTGATGCTCAGAAATCATAATCATTTTGGAACTAATATTAATTTAAAAGTATTTAATGAGTGTATCTTGTATCTGACAAAACACTAGATTTTAGGCGTATGGTGGCCCATGCCTGTGATATCTATTGGAAAATACAGGCAGCTAAATAGGTAATTACAACATGATGCGATGAATGCTATGTTAGGGAAAATGGGGGGGCGGGTGTCAGTAGGTTCTTAAAGGGACTTGGACCTAAGCTGAGACCTAAGGGATACATACAGTAACACCTCAGTAGGTGAGAAGTGTCCGTTAAGGAAGGCTTTGTTTAGACCAAAGGGGATAAAAGAGCCTAAATTGCTATCAGCAGTGGATGACCAGTGCATCGATTATTAGTCTTTTTATTTGTTGAGTGTATTCTTTGGGGGCTGCTGGGAATTAAGCCCAGAGCATCATACATGCTAAACCAGTGCTTTACCACCTAGCTGTACCCCCTGCCTTGAAGTGCTTTCTTGTGGTTTTTATTTGCATTTCTTAATGAATAATGATGTAGAACACCCTTTTATTGCTTATTGACCATTTGAATATAGTAATTTAAAAATTATATTAACTAATAAATATTTTGAATTCTCTATTTTCACTAGATTACTTAACTTTTAAAATTTTATTTATTATTGTCATTTTATGTGTATGGGTGTACTGCCTACACATATATATAAGTGCACCTGTGTTGTGTAATGCCTATGGACCTCAGAAGAAATCCCCTGGAACTGGAGTTATGGACTGTTCTTAGCTGCCATGTGGGCACTGGAAATCAAACCCAGGTCCTCTACAAGATCAGCCAGTGCTCTGAACTGCTGAGCCATCTCTCTAGCCCCAAGAACTTAACATTTAACTGCTCTTGAGTTATAGTAATATCTGAAATCTTCCATAATATCATACAAATATTAGATTGTATTTATATAGAGAGAATCTTACTGAATACTGCCCCTAGTTCTTAACATATTTGAAGGATCTAGAATTTCATTTCTTTATTGTAAAAAACAGAATTTCCATCATATTTCATATCTAGAAACATATATATATTAACAGTCTTCTATTGATAAACTTTTTAGATCAAGGACAAAATGTAGCAAGACATTCTTGCTAATAGAAAAAAAAATGCATTTCTTCCAAATATTTGCTATGGTTCCTGAGATTTCTCGAAAGGCTTTTCTCTTGTTAGATTTATTCACATTTATCTGACTTTACCTTTATTTTTCAGCCCATCAAGCTTGGAGATCATCTTAACAGCATACTGCTGGGCATGTGTGAGGATGTCGTGTATGCTCGCGTTTCTGTTCGGACTGTCCTGGATGCTTGCAGTGCCCACATTAGAAACAGCAACTGTGCACCTTCATTTGCCTATGTGAAACAGTTGGTAAAGCTAGTTCTGGGAAATATTTCTGGGGTAAGCTACAGTTCTAACTTGCAAACATAGTATATTTTTAATTCAATAACATCATAAAATCTTCCTTAAAAATATACAGTAGCCGGGCGTGGTGGCACATGCCTTTAATCCCAGCACTCGGGAGGCATAGGCAGGCGGATCTCTGTGA